GGGATGCACGAAAACGTAAAAGTAAAAATCTCATTTTGAGAAAAACGCAAAATAACGAAAAAATGTCGTCTTTTCCGGTAGAGGTTTTCAGAAAAACCTGTGTGAAACCCTTAAAATCTATCGTAAAGTTAAGAAACTATAGTGAATTCGATAGCGGACGTGATGCTCTACCAAATACGCTATTTTAAAAAAATCGATAAATTTCACCAAAATAACCTTTTTTGTTGAGTGGAGGGTGGGCCTTAAGCTGAGAAACTGCCTTTTAGATGGTAGCGATAATGTCATTATCGATCCTCAGTTAGGTTAAAACATGCAGCTACTTAGAAAAAAACATTTTAGTTACTCGGCAGACTTTCCATCCAATTCAAAACTTCTATCAAAAACACTGAAAATAATCACTTGTAAAAGCTGACGGGTGTGCCACGACCGCCTGTGGATCAACTCAAAATGGCTAATTCCAACGATCTAGATCCGATTAGTCCGGTTTGTAATAAATTTTAACAGTTTCGAGGATGAGATGTAACACAAAAAGATAATGTTCTTTTAGTAAAAAAATTTAGTTTGAGTGCATGGATTGCGTCAGTTCATCGAAAAACGTAGCACCTTATTTGTGATTTTATACTTGTTGTATCGTACCACACGATCTACTCAATTATGTGTCTTTCTCGTGGTGTACGTGTAAAACCGTGAGATCCTGTTGTCTTGACTTTTTCGTTACCATTTACGATACCAGTACCATCGGGAAGAATGTTTTACCATGACCAATGTTACTGAAATCCCCGCGGTAATACAATATATTCGCATAGAAAGAAAATAAAAAATAAAAACACATGCGTAAGACAGAAAATAAAGAATATGTAGGGTCATGGACTAGCCTGAACGTTATATAACGATTGACTATATTAAGTACACTAAAGTGATATACAAGACCATTTATAATAAACAGATGGTATGATTATGAACTGGAATCTGAAAACTGTCCGTTACCACTGTCAGTACCAGTACCATGAATTTAAATTTCTGTTACCATTTACCATCTATTAGAATGACAACAGAGATGGGATTGGTACGTGTTTTCTTAGAATTGGACCGTAGCGCATCGGAACGTTTTTTCAAAACTGACTTAAAATGGAAAACATAAATAAGATGCTTACTCTTCGTCATTTGAGCAAGTTCTTGTTTTCATGCCATTTTTTCTCTTTTCGATTGTGTCTAATCCAGTTTCACAAATGGACAAACATTTATTTGTTATCGCAAAAAATCAACTGTTCTACAAGAAAATATAGAAATAAAGAAGAATGAGTGTTTGTTTATTTTGGTTTAGGAAATGAACACAAACCGAACCGAACCGAACTGATTCCATCTCTATGAGACGAGACAACACGTTTTACGTATCGAATAGAAATGATCAGTTACAAACGACAAGTGGGAGTGACCACAAGTATTCACAGCTTATAAGAATACTTTATTTATGGGAAAGGGAAGGACTGGCTTGGAAACTGTTTACAAAAATGTACATTTATCATTTCTGATCTCCATGGTCGCTTATGCTGACAGTATTTGACGTGATTTTTTGGATGTAAAAATAGAGATTCATCGAAACTCTTCGATAAATCAAATAAATTTTATCTATTGTCGTTTTCTACTTTTATGAATTTAATTTTAGATAGTATAAGGTGATAAACTCAACACATTAAATCAAAAATTTTCATAAAATGGTATGATTATGTCCTTTTATCGTCGTGTTGTAAACTACCTATGGGCTTAGGAGAAGTCCTGATAAGTCTGTAGGAAAGCAAAGCTCAATCAGCCTCTCTTCATAGATGGAAGATGCTAAAAAGCTTTTTTCTCTGCTCAAGAAGTATTGTTAAAAATATTAGATGATCTATGTGAGTATTATGTAGTCAAGACTGAATAATTAGTTTTTATTAGTTAGAAAAGTATTGTTCAAAGAAATTATCTCTGATGAGAACTGTCAAAATTTCGAGTAAGTTTTTTTTTTTTATATAGAAATCATCATATTATTTACCTGGTGATCGGTTATTAGATGACAGTTATGCTGAATATCACGGAGTGAGTAATTATCAATCAAAATTGATTTCTGATACACAACAAAATCAACGGCAACAACCACAACAAATTCAAAATCACATGGTACTTAAAATTTATAGTCCCACTAAAGATGATTATGTATTAGGTATTGTTATAATACGTGGTAACGATTTCTTTCTTATTGATATTAATAGTACAGAGTCAGCCATATTATCCATGCAATCATTTGAAAATGGATGTTGTCCAAACCGAGTAAAAATGAATCGTCTAAGTATTGTATATGCGCGTGTTAGTCGCGCTGATTTGTGGTGTCAAACAGAGTTATCATGTTGTTCACCAAATATAAATAAAAAATATAATAAATCAAATATATTCGGTGTTATTGAAAACGGTTATCTTATAAGATGTTCATTGAATTTGTGTGTAAAATTACAAAATACATCATTACTATCGAGATTAACAAAAATCGTTAAAGGTTTTCAGATAATACCATCCGTGAATGGTTTTATATGGTATACAACAACGTCAACAAATTCATTGATTGTTGTTAAAAATATTCTACTAAAACATGAAACAATAGACAATGTTGATGAATTATGTCATGAATATAGTTTATTAATGGACACTTTACGTAAACAGGATGAAACGTATCATTCGAAAACAACAGAAAATCTTCATCTAAGTAGAAATAATAATGAAAAAATGGAATTAGATAAAAGTCAATCTAAAATGATTGAAATGAGTGAGAAGCAGTCTGAGAATGATTCAGAATTAGTGGATGTAGATGATAGTATGAATCAACGAACAATTAGTGACGAAAATAACGATCACTGAAAAAAGAATGAGTAATATCATTGTAAACAAATAACTTTTTCTTGTTGAACAAATTTATTTATTTATAAAACTTTTTGTTGTTGTACAATTTTACTTTTTTATTTTTGTAAATTTCATAGATGGATAAAAAGATTTCGTTATTTAAAAGTAAAAGTCAGAATGTCGAAATAGGATACCATTTAGTAGAACGATTATAACTCGTAAACTAAAAAGCAAAGATATTTTTAACGAAAAATATTCTTTTAACTACTTAGTATCAAAAGTGATATTACTTGTTTTCAAAAATAAAAAATATATACTGAGTCATTTTTATAAAAGTTTTTTAGTTTACGAGTTACAACCATTCTACTGAGTGTCATCTTATTTCGATATCATGATATAAGAAGAAATATTTTTCGTTGGACTTAGATGTCTTGATGATAGTCAGATGACAGATTCTCGTTTTTCAGAGTTCTATTGGGAAGGTTAGCTTTGTAAGAGATTATTAATCTTACCCCTTTAGTATTTTACGAAATATAGATATTTAATCATTGATTGAGTTGCACGAGTTTGACAACTGTATTGTTTGTTTCATTGATGATGACTAGCCCCATTGTACGGATTCGTTTACTTTTAGATAAAAATGAGTGACATAGAAAGTGACAATCAAGATGGAGATAGTGATGAAGAGATGGATAGTGAGCAAGAAGATCTAGAAGTATGAGTTATACTCATTTAAGTTTCTCTCTATTTAAAACGCTCAAAAACGTGTTTCATTTAGCTTCAACAAGCATTAAAAGAAGGCCGATTACAACCGGGTCTCAATATTGAAGAAAAACCAAAACGACCACTTATTAATAATAAAGTAACATTTTTATTTTTGATTATTTCTTCTGTTATTAGTCTATCTTTTCCTTTCTAGAAAGCTCTTGATGCTAAATATACCGAATTATATCTTAATCTTCCATGGACCGAACGTCTTGATTGCACAAATGCTCCATTATCATCAAAAGATGCTGAGATTATTGAGAATAATGAAGACTTAGCTGATAGTGATTTTAAACGTGAAATGTTGTTGTATGTGATATATATATTTGCATTTTATTTCGGTTGCCATATTTACATGTGTACATGTATTCTAGTTATCGACAAGCTCAAGCAGCAGTTATCGATGCTTTGCCAAAATTAAAAAAGGCAAATATTTCAACAAAGAGACCAGATGATTATTATGCTCAAATGGCAAAATCCGATGAACATATGAAAAAAGTAATAGTTTATGATCTCTGTAGATAATTTAATAATATTTGTTTATCATTGAAGATACGAGAATATTTAGTCAATCGTAAAACTGATATTGAAAGACGAGAAAAGGTGCGAAAATTACGAGAACTGCGAACATTTGGCAAAAAAGTTCAACAAGAAGTATTGCAAAAACGCCAAGAAGAAAAAACACAATTATTGAAAACAATGAAAAAAATACGAAAAGGTAGATGAGTTGATGTTATAGTTGAACATTTTGTTTACTTAGGTGTGTGTATTGTAGGCAAGAAAGAAGGTGTTAGAGAATTGGAAGAATCACTTGGAGATCGAAAGAAAAGAGTGATGCAACCAACAAAAAATGGAAAACAAGATATGAACAGCAAAAAACGGTATGATAGTTTTAAACTAGTTAATAGCCATAGTTTAAAAAACTCTTCTAATTGATATAAAAGACAGACTTTATTTGATAAAATTTTACTATTTTTTATTTAGAAAAAATAGTCGACTTGAATATAAAAACAAGAAATTTGGTTTTGGTGGTAAAAAGCGTAATATGAAGAAAAATACAGCTGAAAGTTCAGCGGAGATTGGAGGAAAGAGTAACAAATGGGAGAGACCGTCATTTCATGCACAAAAAGCGAAAAAAGTGGGTGTTAATAAAATAAAATAATATCCATGTTAAATTAACTATTCGTTTTTAATTTATAGGGTAAAAATAAACAAGCACGTCCGGGTAAAACAAATCGTCAGAAAATGAAAGCTAGAAAATAGTTATCTTCTATTTTGTGTTATATTTCTTTGCTTGTTGTTGTTTTGTTACTGTTTTACTTTTGTCTTTTGTACAGAAATAAAGCAAACAATTATTCTACTATTTAAAACGTTCCTCGTATTAGTCAGTATTTTGTGTTTACATCTTCTAGAAATCAATTAAATAAAACTTAAAGGCAAGTGAATAATACAGATTGACAGTTTTTTATGCTAAACCAAATGCTGTTAATCCATCAAGCTTTTTAGCAGCATTTGTTAAAAACTGTTCCTTGTATTCGGTAAAATCAATTTCATAGGTAAATTGATTCCTTAAATCAATCTTTTTTTCTAACAATTCTTTTGTGCTCAGTTGATTTGTCCATTTTGTTGATGGTCTATAGGTAATTGGCTCAAATGAGGATGTCAATTTTTCTTCTGCACGAGTGAATGAGCTACGATGTGCAATTTGTACTTCCAATTCAATCGGACGAATAATTTGCGGCTACAAATAGAGATTCAATATTCTGCATAAAGTAGCATAGGACTGAGCGAGTCCTTGGTTTTTCATCTCTAGTCCAACTGTCTGCAATACGTTCATACAAATATATGGTTCAGTCAAAGTTTTTTCTTATTCACAGTTCCTCATTTTAAGTTATATTTGTACATGCCATGCATATGTTTCTTTACTCAATGCCAACATCAAACATACAGATGCATGCACCTATTCTGTAACAGAGATCGTCACGGGCTGGGAAAACCCATGGAGGTCCATGGGTTCCCACGGGCCGGGTCTACGTTTTTGAATTTTGTTTACGGGCCGGATCGGACCGGGCTGTAATTTGATGGCCCGCATGCGAGCCCAGCCTTTTACCCAAAAAGTCGATAAAATTACAAGACAACATCGAACGGCAACACTCATATTAAATGTGAGAAAAAGACACTACCTTCACTTGAAAATGTCGCTGACAAAGCTGACTATCCTTTGAGTATCTGTTCTAGATACTGCTAAAGCTACTGGCTAGAATTTCTGTTTTTTATAGTTATTTTGTTCTTAAGTGACTGTGAAATTTTGAATGACGAAATTCCATCGATGGTAAATCGATTAATGCTATGTCAAAATATCGCTTATCTATTCAAACAGACTTCGAGATGCTTGATTCGTAGAATGTAGAATACATTTGGCCCGATCTGTACGGGCCGCTCCAAAAAATGTATACGTTCACTCCTAGCCGGACAGGGCCAAAATTCTTGAGCCTAGCACGGACCGGGCCGTAAAAACGTGGCCCGGGACGATCTCTATTCTGTAAAGAGTATATGATGTTAAATTTTTTCACAACAGGATTTTCAATTAGACGAAGAAAATCAAGTTTCTCGAAAAAGATTTAGCTGTGCTGACAATGTCAAAGCGTAACAAAGCATTGTTGTGAAGATTTTTGCAGTAGTTTGAAAATAAGAAAAAGTAACATTTTGAAAAAACGTAGGACGTAGGACTCTTCTGTACTCGTCCAGCTCTAATATAGTGTTATGACATATAATCAGATGGAAACAATGTGTTTATATTTCATGCACCTTTCGTTATTTAGCACTATAAGTTCATTGGGCGAAAGCTTTGAATTTAAAAAGAAACAAAATGGGATTTGGGAAAAATGTTTTTTGCTGTTTTTGAACATGGTTTGCTATTTTCCGTACACTAAAAAATCTTTTGACATTTTTGTGCACAGTTACAGAAAGGTGCACGGAAAAAAGACAGAAATGTGCATGAAGACGTTTTTGTGCACGGCTTTTCAACTAGTACAAGATATTTTCATTTTACATGCAGATAATCTAAACAAATAAGATGATCTATGAACAGACGTCTCGTTTAATACAAACGGGATTTATTTAGAGATGGGCCGTAATGAAGTCGAATAGAACGAATACGTTTAATGTGAAGTATACGAAGCGACAGAAGGATGAATTTTCTCACTTTCGTTCTTTTCATTTCATCATTATGTCTCAT